AGGTAATGTTATAAATACACTTTTGGGGAAACTAAACAGAAAAGGGCTGGCAGGAGAGGAAATGTAGGGTTGGTGTTCTGTTGTGTATTTTATTTAGAGAACTCATGAGTGGTATGCATTAGTTTCAACAGAAGTTATCAGTGTCAGGGAGTAGTTTTTCTTCATGATACAACATGATGTGAAATTGCAGATGAAGTAAAATGGGGAGAAATTGAGCAACATGTTTGTTTAAGCAAGAAGAAAACTCAGGCCTTGTCAAAAAAAAACCAAACACCTGTAGTCTGGACAAATCAGCTTCCATTGACAAAACAGCAGAGGCATATATACAACAATGCTTTTCCTGTTAATTTAACTCCTCTGCTATACCAACAAAATGAAAGCACCTTGTCAAAGAGCATAGAGCTTTCTGTGACAGTGTGAATGTTGTGTGTGTGCTTGCTCCAGTCACCTAATTGGCCTCTAGGAGGTGTCCCACAATACTTACCATGACTGCTCTGGTAGCAATTTGAACTTTGATTTCCTGCAGATACACAAGCATGTTCCAGTTTAAAGGCCCAGGAATTTTTTAAACTTCTCTTCTTATTTGCTTAGCCTGGTCTGTTGACCTGGTCTGACCATGCTGGTGTAACCTTGAGTGGGCTAGACTACACTGAAGTACTGAAGACCCAGAGTTTAGTCTGTAAGGAATTTCAGCAAGGATTGCAGTGTCAGCCTCCCTACATTCAAGTTCCAAAAGAATGAATTTAATTAAATAACTATAAAATTGTATGAAGAAACAAATAATCTAATTCTTACAACAGAACACAGCTATTTTATACCCCACAAATAATATCTATAATTACAATAAACATAAGTAAAGAGAAAACTAAAAGTGAAACTTGAACAGTTCAGTCCACACAAACATAGTAAGAAAAGACTGAAAGGTCCGATGAAGTCTCAGTTTGTGCATCTGATGTATGGTGCAGATTTGATGCTGAGTCTGAAGTCTCTCTCTCGACTTGCTTGTAGGGAATCCTCAGCTGGAGTCCAGGCAGACTCTTCCTCTACTATGGTCACTGCTAGGCAGCCAGCTCACTGATTACTAGTCAGTTAGCTCAGAAGTGAACAGAATTAAATAAACCCTATTACAAGAAAATAAAAAAAACCGTGAGAACCACAAAATAGAAATGACTTTCCCCATTGCTACATGTACAAAGGAGCTGAAGAATCACACAGTGAGAGAGAACTAGAACAGTTTGACTAAAATCAAAACAGCATTTAAAGCAGACAATTAACACAAGTTATTTTCCCTTCAGTTCCTCACATGTTCTGGGCTGTTACAGAATGACTGCTGGGGGATATTAAATTAGAAACAGAAATTACAGATTTTAACAAGTCTGAATCTAAGTGTTAGTATGTGGAAGGAAAAATTCTCAAGATAATCACTGTATGGTGAAATTGGTTATGGGATTCCTTGGAATTTGGATCCACTGTGGGAAATGTGCTATTTGTAAAAATATTAGGGATTTTTTGAGAAATATGCATTTTCACTTTCGCCTGTAACACATACAACTTCTCAGCAGCCAGAAAATAGTCAAATAAAATATAGTTTTGGAGAGGATTAGGAGTTCTTAAAGAGATTGATCTACAGTCTCCTTGAGGTTTTTATACTGTCTTGCCAGCAGCCTTTCAAGGCAGGTGGTTCTTCCATAGCATGTGTTTATGTTTATTGGACTAAATGCATCTCTTCAGAACATCACCCCTCTTGTGGTCACATGATCCTCACAGTGAACCTTTAGTTGCAGTCTCCTGTGCTAATCTATGTACATCACCTGCAAGTCTGTTTCTTCTGGGGCAATTAGTGGCAACTCAAGACCAAACAGCCTCCTCAAAGCAAAGTACTTAAGTTACCCCAAGTGGTGTAAATTACAATGACCTAGGTGCTCATGTCAGCAGGAGAAGCACTGTGTGAAAACAGGGCTTTACAGTCTATATCCTTACCTCACAAAATGCTTATCCCCCTTGAGGAGAACTCTCCCTTCCTCAAGTTATTCAGTCCTTTTGATCTTATACAGGATCACAAAGAAAAAACAGTTTCTTGCCATTTCAACCAGAAAGGACATTGTCTCAATGACTTGATTACCTGCAGCCAGCTTCAAAGTCCTTTTAAGACTACACTTGAAAGAGAATCCTCTGAACTGTCATTCATGCTTAAATTCAACCCTTTACACTTAGGTTTGAACAAAGACCCTAATTATCTTACCTATTACAAAGATAGCTTCCCCAATTATCACCTCTAATATCATTAGCTCACAGACATTTACCTCCCCCCATCTGTTCTGAAATTTGACTTGTCCTTTTCATATGTTTGTTTTTTTTAATTGTATCTTTTGGTATATATGGTTGTGACAATTTTCTTCCACTATTTAATCTGAGGAAGTAGGTCTGGCCCATGAAAGCTCATCACCTAATAAACCATCTTGTTAGTCTTTAAAGTGCTACATAGTCCTGTTTTTTTTGTTTGTTTGATCTCTGTTTCCAGCCTGCCAAAAAAGCATTGCATCCTAATGGGAGACAGGATTGGTAAAATCCTTCATGCTAGTATGTCCTCCATTGCCTTGCAGCCTTCATTGCAATTGTTTGCTTGGAGGTTGCTTATCTTGGATTCCTTCTGTTCCTTTCCTGCATGTTTTTCCAATAGCTTCCTCTCTGTTTAAGCATTATAGTTATATCTGTACTAATAACTGGATTGTCATGCAGCTGGGATGTGATAATCACAGAAAGGTGAGAGCTACCAAGAGATTGCTGAGCTTTAATGGACAACTCTGAATGGCTTGAATTGCTCTAAACTTTCCCTGCACTCTCCCAAAATCTCTCTCTCTCTCTCTCTCTCTCT